CAGGGACCCGACGGGTCCCTTTACTCGGGCACCGACGTACGACGAGCGGTCCGTTTTTCGGTCAGGGACGCGAATCCCTTTACCGGGGATAGGACCATGAGTTGACTGTTGGAAGGGTGGGGTGATTTTGAAATTAACTGATGGAAATAAATTAATACCAAATTTATTAAAATAAGAGTGACAACAGAAAGTTATGCGGCGCGGTTTATTACAATTTACTTAAATGATGTTGTGTGTATGTGTGTGTGTATGAGAAGTGAAAGAAGAAGAAAAAAAAATAAAAAAAAAAAGGAAGGAATATGAGTAAAGAGTTAGTCGGGTGAGAGGGAGCGTGAGTGGTCGGGTGAATTTAAGGGAGTGGATAGTTCGGAGAAGGAAACTGGTGAATAAGATATCGAAGGGGTTGAAGGCGGGGACGCGTGTGTAGGAGAAGAAGGCGGAGTACCAGGGGAAAAACGAGGAAGAAGGTAAGGGGATAAGAGTGTAGGATCCGGGTGATAATCAGTTCCTAACGCTATATTAACTATGGCTCAAAGGTAGTGGATCTGAGACGTAAGTTGGTCTGGATCGCTAATATCAAAAACTGCCTCGAACGTTCGGAAAACGTGGTGGAGGGTTATTCCTATGTTGTAATAATGACCCACTAAAAACGGATTTCAATAATATGGGGAATTAATAAGATGGTAGTAGAAAAGGTAGAAGCAATAAAAACCAGAACTTACTGCTGACTCCTGTTATCCCGAAGGTGAGCAAAAAATAAAATTGTCGTTTGGTAGCTCCTGCTCGGTAGGTTAAGTTGTGCTCGTCCACTCCCTTCCGATTGTTCAATTATAACACAAACACTAATGCCTTTTGCTGATTTCTTTGAATGTTTGCACAAACTCGGATATATGAATCGTAGATATATTATCTGAATGTCTGACTTGAAATCTAAATTCTGAATGCTCAAAACAGAATATCCGAGTGAGAGTGTGACTGCCTTTTTCAGAGTAGAATTAGAAGTAGAAGTAGAAGTAGTGTGTCAGAGGCGGATTACCGCGGTTTTTATAATGATAATCGGAGGCAGAAGCTATCAGGGTGGGTAGAGAGATGGCCTTTGAGGAAGGGGTGGATTGGTCTTAGTGGGAAAAAGTCTCAGCCATTAGCAAAGTTAAAAGATATCGTGGGAGGAGACAGTTAGTTTTTGGAGATATGAATATGGAAGGGCTAAAGGGTGGAGCGTGGGTGTCTCATAGTTTTAGGTGGATATGATATGATTAGCTGAATGAATTAGGCGCGACAAACATGGAGGTGGTGGATTCTTGAGATAGAGAAATGTATACAAGTGGCCGGCTGGAAAAATCAAAATGCCGTAAATCAAAGGCTGAGATCAGATTTTACGACTATCAGTGAAGTAAGCTTTGTTGGTTGACTGATAGGGCACCTATGGTTTTGGATTGGGAAGATGTAAGTTTCAAGTTTTAGAGCAGGAATGCTCTGTGTTGCTTTGTTTTACTGAAGGTTTGTTAGCGCGGAGTTTCAAATTTTTATAGCTAGGACGACGGACACACTTGGCGAACACTACCCAGATATAAACTTTAAACGAAGACGTAGATTTTTACAACAGGGCACTGTTTCCTGTTATGGAATTTTCCCGAATCGCCTTTCATTTGGCGCGACGGCTGTTCGCCAGATGGGTCTGTTTCCTAATTTATATTTATATATGTATACAGGGTGCACGATTTATCTGAAGACATTGAAATATCTCGAGAACTATGCATTGGATAAAAAAAAGTGGTCAATGAAAGTTGTTAGTCTCGAAGGGGGACATCCAATGATACCAAACTCGACCTCCCACCCCACCCTCTGGGGGTGGGGGTTGGGGGCAACTTTGAAATCTTAAATAGAAACCACCATTTTTTATTGCAGATGCGGATTCTACGCCACAAAATACGTAAATTTTGTCCGAAACTTTTTTTTTTATTCGTGATAGATGGCGCTGTAATCGCAAAAAATTATATTTTCCGCAATTCTCCAGAAATGATCATTGGATTGAGAAATAAAAAATACCTGTTCAATATTTTTAAAGAACATAACAAAAGTTATTCCCCCCCCCCCATCCTCTCGGGGTAAGGTGGGTGGTAACGTTCAAATCTCAAATGGGAACCCGAATCGAAGAGAGAACTGCTCGACGCGCCACTGTGGGTGTATGGCGAACTACGGCTTATTATAAAAAATTGTTTCAATGAAAAAAATTGTTTCAATAAAAATTTCACGTACAATCTAGTTCTGCAATGAAAAATGTGTGTCCCCATTTGAGATTTGAACGTTATCACCCACCCTACCCCGAGAAGATGGGGGGGAATAACTTTTATTATGTTCTTTAAAAATATTGAACAGGTATTTTTTATTTCTCAATTCAATGATTATTTCTGGAGAATTGCGGAAAATATAATTTTTTGCGATTACAGCGTCATCTATCACGAATCAAAAGAAAAGTTTCGGACAAAATTTACGTATTTTGTGGCGTAGAATCCGTATCTGCAATAAAAAATGGGGGTTTCTATTTAAGATTTCAAAGTTGCCCCAATCCCCACCCCCAGGGGGTGGGTTGGGAGGTCGAGTTTGATATCATTGGATGTCCCCCTTCGAGACTAACAACTTTCATTAACCACTTTTTTTTATCCAATGCATAGTTCTCGAGATATTTCAATGTCTTCAGATAAATCGTGCACCCTGTATATTCCTATTATAGTTATATTAGGAGAATATAAATCCGCGAGAGGAAAAGACAATTTTGTTAGTTAAATCTGCAGGACGTAACACTTGTAAACAGTACAAATTTTCATTGCATGCAATTATAAAACTGCAGAATTTGGATAATGGTTTAAGCCTCGAAACATATCCATATATTTTTTGTAACCAGTATTGCTTATTTAAATTGAGATTGAAATTGTAATAACCAAACATTAAAAAAAATCTTATCTAATATGAATTTGCACATCTTCTTTCTAATATTTTTATCCAATTAGTTTTGAAATCACTGAAACATACATTGATAAAGATAATACAGGGTGGACCATTTTAACCTTTAATGGAGAATAACTCGACCGGTGAGCGAAATAATGAAAAAAGTTTCATACAAAAGTTGTTGGACAAGGAGGGGAACGTATGACCATATCCTCGAATTTGATCTTGACTTTGACCTTAGGGGTTATTTGAAGGTCAAATAACATTTTTTAAATGGAATTGCCTATTTTCGACCCCGGATTTGGAAAGAGCGGGAAATTTTAGAATAGGACATGGTATGATCGATAAGATCAAATGTCATGTTTTGAGGTCATTTCAAAGTCAAAAGGAACTTGTACGTGTATTCATGCGAAAATCGTATCTGTATACGGGGATTTCTAAATTATCTTCTATACTTAGCATTACCCAGAGACAACGACGTGGACGTGGTAGAATTCTGCCTTTTTCGGGGTGCTTGTTTAGAGTGAGTCCCCTTGCCTCTCACTATGCATACTTTGCTATTATTAATCTAGCTATTCAAAAGGTTTTCGAAAGTTGCACCGTTAGCATTTATGCAATAATTGAGCCTTCTTTGGAAATAAGCCACTGTGCTGAGCAAGACATTTCGTGGAATCGCTTCGTCTTATGCGATTTTCCATATCTTCTCTTGTTGGTTCTTCTTTGAAAACAACTTCTTTCAAATAGCCCCAGAGATAAAAATCGAGTGACGTCAAATCAGGAGAACGAGGAGGCCATGCAATCGGACCCTCTCGACCAATCCATCGGTTCGGGTACCTTTCATCTAAAAACCTCCTGACTATACGTGCAAAGTGCGGTGGTGCACCATCCTGTTGGAAGAACATCCTTCGCCTGGTTTCCAAGTCTACGTTCTCCAACAAATGAGGCAATTGGTCTGTGAGCAAATCGAGGTACGTATTTGCATTCACAGTACGTTCGAAAAAGAATGGACTGACCAAGTATCCATTAACAATCCCGCACCAGACAATGAGGCTCCAGCGGTGTTGATTGTTAATGGATACTTGGTCAGTCCATTCTTTTTCGAACGTACTGTGAATGCAAATACGTACCTCGATTTGCTCACAGACCAATTGCCTCATTTGTTGGAGAACGTAGACTTGGAAACCAGGCGAAGGATGTTCTTCCAACAGGATGGTGCACCACCGCACTTTGCACGTATAGTCAGGAGGTTTTTAGATGAAAGGTACCCGAACCGATGGATTGATCGAGAGGGTCCGATTGCATGGCCTCCTCGTTCTCCTGATTTGACGTCACTCGATTTTTATCTCTGGGGCTATTTGAAAGAAGTTGTTTTCAAAGAAGAACCAACAAGAGAAGATATGGAAAATCGCATAAGACGAAGCGATTCCACGAAATGTCTTGCTCAGCACAGTGGCCTATTTCCAAAGAAGGCTCAATTATTGCATAAATGCTAACGGTGCAACTTTCGAAAACCTTTTGAATAGCTAGATTAACAATAGCAAAGTATGCATAGTGAGAGGCAAGGGGACTCACTCTAAACAAGCACCCCGAAAAAGGCAGAATTCTACCACGTCCACGTCGTTGTCTCTGGGTAATGCTAAGTGTAGAAGATAATTTAGAAATCCCCGTATACAGATACGATTTTCGCATGAATACACGTACAAGTTCCTTTTGACTTTGAAATGACCTCAAAACATGACATTTGATCTTATCGATCATACCATATCCTATTCTAAAATTTCCCGCTCTTTCCAAATCCGGGGTCGAAAATAGGCAATTCTATTTAAAAAATGTTATTTGACCTTCAAATAACCCCTAAGGTCAAAGTCAAGGTCAAATTCAAGGATATGGTCATACGTCCCCCTCCTTGTCCAACAACTTTTGTATGAAACTTTTTTCATTATTTCGCTCACCGGTCGAGTTATTCTCCATTAAAGGTTAAAATGGTCCACCCTGTATATTAAGATGTAATATCAAACATTAATTAATTGAGAAGTAAACATTGTCCTTACCTTTATATCCATGACTTAAAATGCAGAAAAACAGACAATCATAGTTGATGCCATATTCATTCGGAATATTTTTTATTTTTTCAAGCATGTCCTTTTTTTTCAAATTTTCAAATAGATAAACTTTGAACCCAAAAGCTTGAAATGTTTCAGATAAATTAGCACAATCTGCATTCGTTCCGTATCGTGCTTCATACTAAAAAAGCATTTCGAAAATATTTTTAGATATTAATTAAATAATATATTTAAAAATATAATTTATCTAACATTATAACTTTCATAATTTAATAATTAATAGGAGGAAGAAGGGCATTTAGAAGTTTACAAATATTTATTAGGGATATACAAAAGTTTCCATTGTTCAAGTATAGATGGTATTGTGAATTATTTATATGAAAGTTGCGACGCATTTTTGTTAGATTATATCAGCCTACATACATAGAAAATGATTAATGATTGTATTGAGTGCCGCGATGGGAGTCTGCGACGTCGACACTCCCCAGTCGATACAATTTGTTACTGCTATATAATTTGAGACTAACATTTTATATAACAAACAAATATTTCGTGATATTTATATCCCAGTTACATATATCTATTGTTTCCTATTATACAATATAAATGTGCAAATGTTACATATTATTTACATAACATGAATGTATTACTTCAATATATGGGCGATATTGCAATATAACACTGTAGCTATATAAAATCAATATCATTAATTATTTACATGATATTACTATTGTTATATAGCATCTAAACGTTGGAACCATATTGACGTTATATTTTATTGCAACAAATATGCATGCAAATATAAATACTAGGTGCGCAACTAAGTTTCCGGGATTTTGATCAATGAAAAATGGAAAATTTCAAGAGAAATACAAAAAATGGTTTATTCAAAGTATCGTCCCTCGCTAGCTACACATTTTTGCCATCTCTCTGGCAATACATGAATCCCGCGACGATAAAACTACACGTCTTTGGACCGAAACCATTCATCCAACCAATTTTGTACTTCTTCGAAATTGGCCAAGTGTTGCCCAGCCAAGCCATGCGTCATCGACCGGAACAAGTGATAATCGGAAGAGGCCAGATCTGACGAATACGGCGGATGCGGCAGCAAATCCCATTTCAGCGTATTGATGGTGTCCTGGGCGATGGAAGTGCGATGACACGGAGCGTTGTGCTGCAATATCACTCGTTCGTGTCCCGTGTCCCATTCTGGCCGTTTTTCGAGCAATGCATGGTTCAAATTGATCAGTTGTTGTCGGTAGCGATGCATTGACAGTTTCGCCCGGTTTAAGCAGCTCATAGTACACAATTCCTTTCTGGTCCCACCAAACGCAGAGCATTGACTTTTTTTCGAAACGATTTAGCCGTGCCGTCGATGTTGATGCTTCGCCACGAAAGCCACGAATTTTTGCGTTTGGGATTCTCGAAATATGTCCACTTCTCATCGCCAGTAACAATTCGATGCAGGAAAATCTTTCTTTCATGCCGCAAAAGCAAAATTTCGGAAGTGGTTCTTCGATTTTCCAACTATCTCTCACAAGGGGAGGACGCATCGACCGAGAAACGGTTTGGAACGAAACTTACGGAGTTAATAGTACTTGACTACTAATAACTCATGGTAATAGCATATGACGCAATACCTCTTTGTTTTCGAGAAAAAACGGTCATAAGAAAAGAGCCAACAAAGTATAAGAGTTAGTAAGAAAGGTATTCAACGGAGCGGCGTAGCGCAGCAGCGAAGGTAACGGACTACCGAGAGTGACGGCTGAGGTTCGATCTCTGCTGTATGGTTTTTTTATTTTGTAAGCATAAAAATGAAACAGAAAACATTAGTAAATAATAAAACTGCGTTTAGTAAATAATTATTAATTATAAATTAATTATAAAATATAAATTAGTAAATAATAAAACTTTCTTAAATATATTAGTGTTTGTTAAATATATTATTAATGATTTAAATTGCAAAAAAACCGTAAAGCTTATCTATAAAATATATAGTGTATGAGAAAATTTTTATATAATAATTGCAATGGAAATAGGAATAAAAATATTGTTATGAAATATATAGGAGTGCTATTAACCCTTTGCGGTGGATGCCGCCACTGTGGCGGCATTCGCAAGTCGTCGTAGAAGTCGGTGCCGTCAGGCTGACATTCATGATCACCTGGCGTGCGGCACGGCAAACGAGGCTAGCGATAATGAAAGAAAACTATCCTCCCGATGCTAGATTCAAATATTTAGATCAACTTAAGATATCCATGTTTATCGATCTCTTCGAAATCAGCCGATCGCAAAGAGTAAAACTAATATGAGATAATTTTTCGTAATCTTATATGGTATCGTATATATAAAATATTTATTTCTGTTACAACTCTCTATGTTGTGTTGAAGTCGTGTTGTGTTGAAGTTGTGTTGTGTCTTTATCTCTTCTGGTAATCCCCCTCCAAGAACTTCCTTTGTGTCATTCTAAACGATCGTTAAGAATGACGAAATGATTCAAGCATCGGAACAGTCGTCAGTAGAACAAGCAGCAGTGTGCGTTTACTAGTGATACAGAGCAGTTCGGTGATCATATTTAAATTACATATATCATAACAATGTCAGAGAATCCTTCAACAAGCAAAATAGTTGATGTAGAATCACTAGAAGAAAGATCTTTTGAAAATGAAGATTTTAAAGGTGAATTCACTAATGCTCTCGTATATGCGAATTCTATTTACGAGAATAATGAATTATTATCGAAAAATCCTCCAGCGAAAATATAATATATAATATTTTTACTCCTATTTCCATTGCAATTATTATATAAAAATTTTCTCATACACTATATACTTTATAGATAAGATTTACGGTTTTTTGCAATTTAAATCATTAATAATATATTTAACAAACACTAATACATTTAAGAAACGCAGTTTTATTACTTATTAATGTTTTCTGTTTCATTTTTATGCTTACAGAATAAAAAACCATACAGCAGGGATCGAACCTCAGCCATCAGCTCGGTAGTCCGTTACTTTCGCTGCTGCGCTACGCCGCTTTATTGAATAACCCTCTTACTAACTCGTACACTTTGTTGGCTCTTTTCTTTAGATCGTTTTTTCTTGAAAACGAAGAGATATTGCGTCGTATGATATTACCATGAGTTATTAATAGTCAAGTGCTATTAACTCCGTAAGTTTCGTTCCAAACCGTTTCCCGGTCCATGCGTCCTCCCCTTGTCAGTCAACTCATGTGGCACCCATTTTCCTTCCTTTCGAATTTTTCCCATGGCATGTAAACGTTTGGAAATACTTTGACGAGTCATGTTTAATGCCTCCGCAAGTTGATCTTATGTTTGCGTATCATCTTCATCCAATAACGCTTGCAGATCAGCGTTCTCAATTGTTTTTGGTCTTCCGGAGCGCTCCTTGTCCTCAGTATCGAAATCGCCACTTCTGAAGCGTTTAAACCAATCTTCACAGGTAGTTTTCGATGGTGCATGTTCGCCGTAAGCTTCCTCAAAACGACGTGCTTCAGCTGCACTTTTTTTCAAGTTAAAGCAGAAAAGCAAAGTTTCCCGGAAATCCTGTTTATTTGTCACAAAACTCGACATCTTCGTTATTAGAAAAAATATTTTTGCGTTGCGATATGTGTTGGTATTACGACTGGTTATTGTTAACAGATGTCCAAGCTATAAAAAAACACAACTTCAGACATGTATGTCGACTACATGTGTCGTTAGCACCATCCATGTGTGAAACCCGGGAACTTAGTTGCGCACCTAGTAACTTCAATTATACAAGGTGTCCTACTTTAAAAAATGCACTTCGATAATTTTTCAATAAAACATTTTCAGCAAAAATATTTCGGACAAAAGTTGTATCATTTCAAGGAGGACATAAAATAACTACTATTTTGTTTACAAATGACACCACTTTCGAGATATTCACTGATCATTACTTTTCTTAAATGGAAACTCCAAATTTTTATTATACCATCTTTTTCTACCAATTAATTTAAACAACTTTCGTCTGAAACAATTTTTTATTTGTCTAATATTTTTTGAAATATTTAAGGAAAACTTAATAACTTTTTCAATATTTAACTCACGATATCTCGCTAACTATTTGTCAGAAGAAAACATGGCTACACTTTTTTACTGTATTTGATCTCAAGAACATATTGTTACAATAGTTCCCTTACTTTTGTTAACTTATTGACTTTTGGAAATTTCAAAATCATCAAATTAGCAAAAGTCGGGGTGCTATTGGAACAATATATTCTTGAGACCAAGTAAAGTAAGAAAATCTAATAGCATTTATCTTCTGACAAATAGGTGACGAGATATCGTAAGTTAAATATTGAAAAAGTTTCCGAGTTTTCCTTAAATATTTCAGAAAATATTAGGTAAATAAAAAATGTTTCAGACAAAAGTTGTTCAAATTAATTGGCAGAAAAAGGTGATATAATAAAAAATGGGAGTTTCTGTTTCAAAAAATAAGTTGACCTTGACCTGACTTTGGTAATGCCACTCAAGGTCAAACTGATAAGATCAGTAAATACATCGTTTTGAGCCTTGTAACTTTTGTCTGAAACACTTTTCTGTAAAACTTATATCTTTCGAGATTTTTAAGGATTTCCACCTTTTCTCTTCATTCTGTATATCAAAAACCACGGCAGTGGTTTGCGCCAAGATATGCTTTTTGTCGTATACGTTCTTGAGTTGCCGTCCTGATTGCTGTGGTATATTCACGCAAACCAACTAGTTGGAGGGGGCACAATTTAGAGTTCCGCTATAACCGCTAAACCGGTGCAGTTCTGAGTGGTCCCAATCGATTTCTTGGGTCTAAATTAGTTAATAGAATTGTCTTTATTTTTGCTCTACGTATCATGTGAGCCGAGATACTTTAGTCCAAAGTTTAATTTACGAAGATTTCACGTTTGCTAGCCTTACTAAAAATGTCATATCAAAAATGTCCATCTCACATTTCTTCTGTTAGAGGCGCTGCGAATCGATCGTCAGAGGCGCCACGAACGGGTCACTCATTGTCAGAGGTGCTATAATTCAAAAGTTGCATACGAGTGTGTTTGACATATGTAGTGATATTTGAATGTTACCAGAAAAAGTGATGTGCTCATAAGAAAAGCCGAGGAAGAAAAAGAGGAAATCAAGATATGTGTAATATAAGTCACGGA